CCCAACCAGCCTCTATTAACAGTTCAGCATCTGCATCAGAAAAAAACACTAACAGGTGCCTAAACCCACACCCCTGGCCAGGCTAGTCTTACTACATATCCTGCTTCAAGGCATATCCTCCGGGGATTCATGTTGTGCTTGTGGTAGCAATAGTTAATAACTACATATAATGTGAATTAATCCATTAAATTCACAGTGTGACATCACAGTGGGTAATATGGGGTTTACAGTCAGATCACTACGTATAATGTGCTGTGTTTAAGGATCACTGAACTCTCTTAACGGGACACTATAGTCACCAGAACAACTACAGCTTATTGTATTTGTTCTGGTGAGTTATAATCATTCCCTTCAGGTTTTTGTCAGTAAACAATGTATATCCAGAGAAAATGCAGTGTTTACATTACAGCCTATAGATACTGCTACAGGCCACTCTTCAGATGGCTACTAGAGGTGCTTCCTGGGGCAGTGCTGCACAGTGTGACTAACATTCAGTGTCTTCACCCTCTGCATGGAGACACTGAACTTTCCTCATAGAGATGCATTGATTCAATTCATCTCTATGAGGAGATACTGATTGGCCAGGGCTGTGTTTGCCTTGTGCTGGCTCTGCCCCTTGACAGTCTTAGTAATCCTATGGGAAAACATGATTGACTGAAATAACCACTTCTGATGATGTCAGCCAAGCAGGCAGATCCGGTCAACAGCAGCAGATTGAAATAAAAATATTTAGGGAGTTAAAGGGAAGCCAGGGGGGGCTATATGGTGTTTTTAACATTACAGGGTCAGGAATACATAGCGTTCCTTTAGTGAAGTAGTCTGGGTTCAGTGGCATTGTATGTTTAAGCTCTCAAGGTAAAACATTGCCAATTTGCAGAAAGGGCAACGTTTACCTTAAAAGGTTAAGCATGCCTCTAGTGGTGGTCACTACCTTACATAATTAAAAATACATTTAAACATTGCTTTCCAAACACGGAAATGCAAATTTTATAAATGGAAGTTGAAAAAAAATAGGTTGGTAAGATCTATCCACGTTAGTTATTTTGACATAAATCTATAATGTTTTTATCACTTCTCCACAATTCCTGGCTTAGTAAATAAACCTAACCCTTCATCGGACGTTTTCAGTAGTGTTCCACTCAGACGTTTCTTCTTGCTTTCAAACGTAACTGAACATCAAATGTCTAAGTTTCAGTTTCCCTCTCTACAAAGGGCGGTTACGTTAAGAGATATTTATAATGGACTGGATGATGGATTATGGGTAAAATGAAATTTGCTGAGTCTGCATGGAATCTCACATATTTCTCTTGCAGGATACTCGCTTGTATGTACAAAGTGTATCGGCCTGAATACAAGTTCTTGTGAAGGTTCCAGTGTCACTTGTCATCCAAAAGAGGTCTGTGGGACGTCATACACTGTTTCAGGTAATTTCTTAATTGCTATTTTATTTTCTTATTGTGTCTTCTTTTTTAAAGTACTCAACATTATAAATAAGATCCCTCGTCTTTTAGAACTGTGTTACTTTTGTTTCTTTTACAATGACCAGAAACAATGCAAGATCATGTTTACTGTGTCACTTATTGTTCAAACCGTGCTGGGAACTTAGTTGAGGCATAGGAATATTTTTTTTCTTTTATACTTAGGTATAAAATGGATAGATAGATAGATAGATTGATATATGCTAGATAGATGTATAGATAGATATATGCTAGATAGATATATGCTAGATAGATAGATGTTAGATAGACAGACAGATAGATAAATAGATTAATATATGCTACATAGATAGATTGTTATATGCTAGACAGATAGATGTTAGTTATATAGATAGATAGACAGATAGATAGATTAATCTTCAGCATCATCTTAGCCATAGAAATCATGCCTCCACAACTATCCCAGAATTCCCAGCTCAACATGCAAATGAGCCCATTCTGCAGGAACCATGCACAATGGATTACAGCTTTAAACAGAGTATATTTTTTAGATAAAGCATGGGTTGTGATCCAAAAGGACAAGTTAGACATGTGCAATTTCGTTTCGGTCCGAATTAAGATTGCCGAAGTCCCGAAGTGCCGGAATTTCCGAAGTGTAGGAGTGCCGAAGTGCTGAATTGCTGAAGTGCTGAATTGCTGAAGTGCCGAAGTTCCGAAGTTGCCGATGTTCCGAGGTGTAAAAATACCATAGTTCCGAAGTTCCGAAGCACAGTATTGCCTAAGTACTAATATACTTACCCAGTGAAAGAAGAAGAATGTTACACTGTATCCAATTTCAAATAAATCGTATACAAACATAGCCAGGATTCAGCTGTAAGCATTTGCAACACTTACAACAATCAAGTAACTTACATTTATATAAAATGTAAGTTACTTAGCCAGTCATGTAATGAGAGGAATGAATAAGTAGATAACTCCCTAATTCCCACGAAATTAGGGAGCTATCTACTAAAAGGCTGAAAGACCTGAATTGGTCTTTCAGCCAAATTTACGAATACTAAGTAAAGATTAGTAAATTATGCCCCTACTCGCTATATAGGGGCATGTTTATTAAACAGTGAGTAGCCTGTGGCTGCTCACTGTTAAAAAAAAAAAAGGTCCCCCCCTCCTGAGCCCCCACCTGCGACATGTGAGTGGGGGCTTTTAAACTAAAGCTATTGTCCCCCCCGGCCCCCACCTCTGAGCGGCGGGTGGGGGCCCTTAGGTAAAAAAAGGGGGGAGGACTTTAGGGGACCCTAAAGTAAAAAAAGGGGGAGGACCTATTGTCCTCCCCACCGGCCCCCACCCCTGAGCGGTGGGTGGGGGCCCTAAACAAGAATAAGGACCTAATGTCCTCCCCCCTGGCTCCCACCCCTGAGCGGTGGGTGGGGGCCCTAAACTAGAATAAGGGGGGGGGACTTAATGTCCTCCCCTCTGCCCCAACCCCTGAGCGGTGGGTGGGGGCCCTAGATACAAATTGGGGGGACAACTAATGTCCTCCCCCCTGGCCCCACCCCTGGTGGGGGCCTTAAACAAGAATAAGGGGGGGGACCTAAGGTCCTCCCCCCTGACCCCACCCCTGAGCGGTGGGTGGGGGCCCTAAACTAGAATAAGGGGGGACCTAATGTCCTCCCCCCGGCCCCCACACCTGAGCGGTGGGTGGGGGCCCTAAATACAAATTGGGGGGGGACCTAATTTGACGAATTTAGGAATGCCGAACCAAGACAAATATTTTCCCCATGCACATGCCTAGAAACTAACCATGGACTGTTCTGATCTTTTGGGTATCGTCATCATGGCTCTGCTTCTCGTCTGGAAGTTGAAGTCTCTGTTTTAGTGTATAGCTAGGAGCCAAATATTTTGCAGTTCCACTCTACATATTATTAATACTGGCATTTATAAAAAGCCAACATATTCTGTGGTGCTGTACAATTCGGGAAAAAGACAGCAAAATGCAAACTGACCAATACAAAATTTAAAGATGGCCCTGCCTGAAAGTGGAGATCTAGTCCTTGAAACTATTTTTTACTGAGTCCCTATTTAGATAGCCCAGATTAAAATGGGGAGACTTGAGACAAGAGATAGCAGAGGAATTTGGTGGGCATGGCAGAGAGAATTAAAATTCTAATTCCTGCCATTGGTAACTGTACGGACATGCAGGTAGGTACTCCAGTTGAGTACCTCTGTTACTTTTCTGCTTCCTCAAGCTATTTTTAGACAATCGATTACTGCCTCACAAGTTGAAATACTTGGTGGCTTCTGGAACAGTCAGATGACCTCTACATGTCGGTGATTCAACCTTCGAAGAATAATTATGGCCAGTGATTATAGCAGTCATTTGTTTATAGTCAGTGTTTATAGACATTACCCCACACCAAGACTACACAAAGGGGTCAAAACATAACACACTTTTATTGCAGCTTTGCAGAGGTTTTTATACCTGAAGAGGGTCATTAGCATACAGATAGAATAATTAACAGTACATACAGTTCCCCATCAAGTCCTCTTCCCAAAACCCTTTGCGTTCGTTGTTGGTAACGACTCTCAGCTCGACCAAACAAACAACTTGGTGCCATTTGGCCATATCACTCTTGTTAACAAAATATGTAGACAGAATACAGAAGTCTCTATTAGACCAACGTGCCCTTTAAATATAGTTTAAACAACTTGAAGTATAATCATTTATGAACATAATGAATATCCTCGTAAAATTCTCATCCAAACAAGAGAACAATAAGAACGTTTGCCCTACAGCCTTGGATCCTTGACAGTGACATGTACAGGGAAGGAGGAAGTAAATCAGTGAGATGTCAAACAGCTGGAAAAACACGCTATTAGAAGGAGCCAGGCTGGGCTGGAGGAGGGGTCGGTGGGTGTCGTTCTTAGTAGCTTTCGTTCTTTCAGTTGCTTTCTGGAAATTGACTAAAGGAATAGAAGTAGACACAGTTATTTGAAGGGATTTACTGCTAGGAGGGGAAAGGAAAGGGGAGGAATGAAGTGGCTCTTTCTGTTGGATGCTGGGATTGTGGAATTAGGCCTGTATAGGCAGATAAATCTACTGATAACAGTATTCAGATTGAAGCATTACTGTTGTGCACTGTCTGCATATCTCAAGTTGGAATTTAGGAAATCCACCTTTGACACAGAAATTCTGAGACATGGTTTATTTATATAATATTTTTCCAGGAAAAATATATTCCACATTTATTCCAGAATTCCCAGCTCGACATGTAAATGAGCACAAGCAGGCATTGTGTTTCAGACCTTGGGTTATGATCCCAAAGGATCAATGACCAGAAATCAACCGTAGACTTTTTAGCTTTTTGGGTCTCAGCAGCATGGAGACCGATGTCTATCTTTGAGTTTATAGATAAGTGCCAAATGTGTGGTGAGACACTATAAAGAAAGTTTAAAATCATTGGTGCATTATTTTTAATATAAATTAAAAAGAAACCTTATGGATTGAGTTGAGTTTTTGTGGCAGTCTAATCTATTTTGATATCATTTTGACTGGAAAATGTAGAACTTAGGTGAAGGAGCAGGTATCTTGTAGACATTTGAATAGAAAAAACAATGTATCTGTCTGGTTTCTTTAATTTTTATTCGGATGCTTTTTCCCATTTGGTTTATTTATTTTTTCTTTAAGAATGGGATGCTAATTGAAATGATTTTGTTCGGATCACCCTTGCAGATACTTGGTATTAGAAGGACTTTAATGTCAGCCCCCTGAGTGTGAACAGGTAACCTGAAATCCACACTTTCTCTTGCTTTTCTTCGAGTTTTATAGATTTGTTTTAATACATTTGTATCCGAGGTTTGCTCCCTGATAGTTGCTGTTTCCTGTGATGCTTATATTATGCCTGTCCTTGTTTGTTGTCTGCAGGGAGCGAGATGAAACCAGAAACAATTGTAAAAAATTGTGTTCCTTGGAACTTCTGTAATATGAAAGGAAGTTACATCACTTTTGGTAACGTTCGATCACAGCTCACCATCAGTTGCTGTTTCACTGATAACTGCACTACATCTCAACCCACATGTAAGAACCTCAGTTATTGGCCATTTATTCTTCTGCGATATTTGGTAACTGGAAAACTACATTTCATTTTGTATACCCCTCAACATTGGGAGGTATGATATTCAGGACAAGGCTTAGGCTAAAAGGGGCATGACCGCGATACCATTGTCGATGGACAAAATGGCATGACCTATTCAGAAAGAGGGTGGGGCATCCCAGAAGGGGCAAAAGGCTCGAAATTGGGACTTCTCTGTCAGATTCAGGACAGCTGGGGGTACGGATTATGTTATGCTTACATAAAAGTTGACTGCGTTCATAGAGCATTGGTACCATTCACGGGACCATATTAGTTCCTCCAGAATATAGACTTATTAACTAAAACGTAAACGTTTGGGAAATCAAAGGGGATTTAAAATAGAATTAAAGGACCACTATAGTGCCAGGAAAACTTACTCGTTTTCCTGGCACTATAGTGCCCTGAGGGTGCCCCACCCTCAGGGACCCCCTCCCGCCCGGCTCTGGAAGGGGGAAAGGTGTTTAAACTTACCTTTTTCCAGCACTGGGCGGGGAGCTCTCCTCCTTCTCTCCTCCTCCGTTCCTCCTTCTGGGCTGAATGCGCACGAACGGCAAGAGCTGCGCGCACATTCAGCCTGTCGCATAGGAAAGCATTTACAATTTACAATGCTTTCCTATGGACGCTTGCGTGCTCTCACTGTGAAAATCACAGTGAAAAGCACGCAAGCGCCTCTAGTGGCTGTCAATGAGACAGCCACTAGAGGATTAGGGGAAGGCTTAACCCATTCATAATTATAGCAGTTTCTCTGAAACTGCTATAATTATGAAAAAATGGGTTAACCCTAGAAGGACCTGGCACCCAGACCACTTCATTAAGCTGAAGTGGTCTGGGTGCCTAGAGTGGTCCTTTAACATTTTAGGCCAAAACAGACAAACTGGATCCTAAAATGTGAAATTTACTTTGAATCCATTTTAAAATCTTTGACAATTTACACTATAGTAAATAACCTTGCAAATGTTACTCCGTGTCACTATTGATGTTTCTGGGTAGCTCTGCCTGTATGTTTGGCAGTCGGAGTGTTTAACTGTTTCTGTAGCTTTCTGATTGCCGGATATTTTGTATGTGTGATTTATCATGGAATTGTGACTGTCCTGCCAAAAGCGGGACTCTTGGGAATACTATTATATATTAAAGGAGAAATTTAAGGTGAATTCAAAGTACATTTGAAATTTAAGGTCAAAATAAATGAACTGGAAAAATAAAATGATGTTTTCAGTTTGGCTTCTCTGGTCTCACATATGAAATTCAATACATAACCCTTTAAAATTTCTACCACTCACAGTCTTATTTCACCAACTTATTTCATCATCTTTCGTGGGACAGTCCTGTTTTTTTGACCAGATATTTTGGTTCTTTAATTCTTGTTTCTTGCTATCAGGTCCATTGCCTCCTTGTAGTTACACCCAACAATTTAAAATTAGTCACACAATAAAAGACATACAGTAATGTGATGACTAATCCATAACACTATTTTCTTACAAATGCTTTCAAGTTTCAGCCATTAGTAATGAGCCTAATGGACTTGTCTGCCGATCCTGCTCCACTGAAAACAATACTCAATGTCCCAAGATTACAGCAATGAACTGCACGGGAAATGAAAAAATGTGTGTACTACGGAACACTACCATAAAAGGTAATTAGAAAAATGTAATGTAAAGGAAATCACAATATAATTCATTTAGCTTAGCATCTCTATATAATGATCATTTAAAAAGCAACAAAACCGTTGATTGAGCAAGTCCATCTCTTTTATGATTATCAATGTGCAAAATATTAGAACAAATTGACTTATTAAACAAGTTTAAAAGAAAGGAAACACTTTGTTATGTAAATGATCCAGCACTCAAACATGTTAGATGCACTGTGTAGGTTAGGTTATAGTTAGTTATACTGGGTGGGTTTATATTATTAAAGGGACACTCCAGGCTCCCACACACGTTAGATGCACTGTGTAGGTTAGGTTACAGTTAGTTATACTGGGTGGGTTTATATTATTAAAGGGACACTCCAGGCCTCACACACGTTAGGTGCACTGTGTAGGTTAGGTTACAGTTAGTTATACTGGGTGGGTTTATATTATTAAAGGGACACTCCAGGCTCCCACACACGTTAGATGCACTGTGTAGGTTAGGTTACAGTTAGTTATACTGGCTGGGTTTATATTATTAAAGGGACACTCCAGGCTCCCACACACGTTAGATGCACTGTGTAGGTTAGGTTACAGTTAGTTATACTGGGTGGGTTTATATTCTTAAAAGGACACTCCAGGCTCCCACACACATTAGATGCACTGTGTAGGTTAGGTTACAGTTAGTTATACTGGGTGGGTTTATATTATTAAAGTGACACTCCAGGCTCCCACACACGTTAGGTGCACTGTGTAGGTTAGGTTACAGTTAGTTATACTGGGTGGGTTTATATTATTAAAGGGACACTCCAGGCTCCCACACACGTTAGATGCACTGTGTAGGTTAGGTTACAGTTATACTGGGGGGGGTTATATTATTAAAGGGACACTCCTGGCTCTCTCACACGTTAGATGCACTGTGTAGGTTAGGTTACAGTTAGTTATACTGGTTGGGTTTATATTATTAAAAGGACACTCCAGGCTCCCACACATGTTAGATGACTGTGTAGGTTAGGTTACAGTTAGTTATACTGGTTGGGTTTATATTATTAAAGGGACACTCCAGGCTCCCACACACATTAGATGCACTGTGTAGGTTAGGTTACAGTTAATTATACTTGGTGGGTTTATATTATTAAAGGGACACTCCAGGCTCCCACACAAGTTAGATGACTGTGTAGGTTAGGTTACAGTTAGTTATACTGGGTGGGTTTATATTATTAAAGGGACACTCCATGCTCCCACACACGTTAGGTGCACTGTGTAGGTTAGGTTAAAGTTAGTTATGCTGGGTGGGTTTATATTATTAAAGGGACACTCCAGGCTCCCACACACGTTAGATACACTGTGTAGGTTAGGTTACAGTTAGTTATACTGGGTGGGTTTATATTATTAAAGGGACACTCCAGGCTCCCACACACGTTAGATACACTGTGTAGGTTAGGTTACAGTTAGTTATACTGGGTGGGTTTATATTATTAAAGGGACACTCCAGGCTCCCACACACGTTAGATGCACTGTGTAGGTTAGGTTACAGTTAGTTATACTGGGTGGGTTTATATTATTAAAGGGACACTCCAGGCTCCCACACACGTTAGATGCACTGTGTAGGTTAGGTTACAGTTAGTTATACTGGGTGGGTTTATATTATTAAAGGACACTCCAGGCTCCCACACACGCTAGATGCACTGTGTAGGTTAGGTTACAGTTAGTTATACTGGGTGGGTTTATATTATTAAAGGGACACTCCAGGCTCCCACACACGTTAGATGCACTGTGTAGGTTAGGTTACAGTTAGTTATACTGGGTGGGTTTATATTATTAAAGGGACACTCCAGGCTCCCACACACGTTAGGTGCACTGTGTAGGTTAGGTTACAGTTAGTTATACTGGGTGGGTTTATATTATTAAAGGGACACTCCAGGCTCCCACACACGTTAGATGCACTGTGTAGGTTAGGTTACAGTTAGTTATACTGGGTGGGTTTATATTATTAAAGGGACACTCCAGGCTCCCACACACGTTAGATGCACTGTGTATGTTAGGTTACAGTTAGTTATACTGGGTGGGTTTATATTATTAAAGGGACACTCCAGGCTCCCACACACGTTAGGTGCACTGTGTAGGTTAGGTTACAGTTAGTTATACTGGGTGGGTTTATATTATTACAGGGACACTCCAGGCTCCCACACACGTTAGATGCACTGTGTAGGTTAGGTTACAGTTAGTTATACTGGGTGGGTTTATATTATTAAAGGGACACTCCAGGCTCCCACACACGTTAGATGCACTGTGTAGGTTAGGTTACAGTTAGTTATACTGGGTGGGTTTATATTATTAAAGGGACACTCCAGGCTCCCACACACGTTAGGTGCACTGTGTAGGTTAGGTTACAATTAGTTATACTGGGTGGGTTTTATATTATTAAAGGGACACTCCAGGCTCCCACACACGTTAGATGCACTGTGTAGGTTAGGCTACAGTTAGTTATACTGGATGTTTGAAATGGGCATCAGAAACCTTAAGGGCCAGCAGAGCATCTAATTTACTATCTTGGTGTTCCATAGGTTCTAAACTTGGAAAGAGTTTAATGAATGTTGCTCGTTGATGTCATTGCTCACTGACAAGCTCTGGGCCTCCTGCTTTTGATTTCTATGACAGTAAATTTAATTTTGCAGCAGAGCCTACTTACTGCCCACATCCCAGGTTTCTCACTGATCTGAGTCTGAGCTGGCTTGTATTCTTATTTTTGTGAATATAACACATGCATTGTTAAACAATCAGCTCAGTATATCACTTTATCTATAACGCCACAGGGTAACTAGCTAAATTATTATTCAGGAAAGACAAAACGTTTAGTGTCTGATATTTAGTCCTTTATAAAAAATTAATGGAAAGATTTGATCCAAAATGTTTTTGTCAACAAGTGATTTCTTTCCAAATAGTGTGAAAATTCCCATAACAGCTTATTCCCATAAGAATGTATCCTCTAAGTGGTTATGGTGCAATGGATCTTTGTGTGTCATTCTCCTGGTTTTTGTCAAACTATTTTTGAGAAATTTGACAAAACCTGTGGATCTCTCTGCAGCATCCCAACACCCAGTCTCCCTACAGCCACTCAGATGATGCATTTATTAAAGGGACACTATAGTCACCAGAACAACTTTAGCTTAATGAAGCAGTTTTGGTGTATAGAACATCCCCCTGCAGCCTCACTGCTCAATCCTCTGTCATTTAGGACTTAAATCCCTTTGTTTATGAACCCTAGTCACACCTCCCTGCATGTGACTTGCACAGCCTTCCATAAACACTTCCTGTAAAGAGAGCCCTATTTAGGCTTTCTTTATTGCAAGTTCTGTTTAATTAAGATTTTCTTATCCCCTGCTATGTTAATAGCTTGCTAGACCCTGCAAGAGCCTCCTGTATGTGATTAAAGTTCAATTTAGAGATTGAGATACAATTATTTAAGGTAAATTACATCTGTTTGAAAGTGAAACCAGTTTTTTTTCATGCAGGCTCTGTCAATCATAGCCAGGGGAGGTGTGGCTAGGGCTGCATAAACAGAAACAAAGTGATTTAACTCCTAAATGACAGTGAATTGAGCAGTGAAATTGCAGGGGAATGATCTATACACTAAAACTGCTTTATTTAGCTAAAGTAATTCAGGTGACTTTAGTGTTCCTTTAAGTTTGTCTGACAATGATAGATTGTTAGTGCTGGGAAGAGCCTAACTCAGTACCTCTAGCTATCTTTCACAACCAAAATTGGCTACATAGTTACATAGTTACATAGTTACATAGCTGAAAAGAGACTTGCGTCCATCAAGTTCAGCCTTCCTCAGAAATGTTGTTGCTGTTGATCCAAAAGAAGGCAAAAAACCTGGTCTGAAGCACTTCCAATTTTGCCACAAACTAGGAAAAAATTCCTTCTTGACCCCAAAATAGCAGTCAGATGTCTCCTTGGATCAATCAGCTATTACCCCACTAATTAGAAATTATATCCCTGTATGTTATGTTTTTGTAAGTATTTATCCAATTTCAGTTTAAACATCTGTATGGACTCTGACAAAACCACCTCTTCAGGCAGAGAATTCCATATCCTTATTGTTCTTACTGTAAAAAAAACTTTTCTTTGCCTTAGATGAAATCTCCTTTCTTCCTGCCTAAATGTGTGACCTCGTGTCCTATGTATAACCCTGTTTATGAATAGATTTCCAGATAAAGGTTTGTACTGGCCCCGAATATATTTGTATAAAGTTATCATATCCCCTCTCAGGCGCCGTTTTTCCAAACGAAACAGATTTAATTTTTGTAACCTTTCTTCATAACTAAAATGCTCCATTCCTTTTATCAATTTTGTAGCTCGTCTCTGGACCCTCTCCAGTGCCATGATATCCTTCTTTAGAACAGGCGCCCAAAATTGCACAGCATATTCAAGGTGTGGTCTTACCAGCGATTTATAAAGAGGCAAAATTATATTTTCATCCCGAGAATTTATGCCCCTATTTATACATGACAAAATCTTACTGGCCTTAGCAACTGCAGATTGACATTGCATATTGCTGCCTAATTTGTTGTCTATAACAATGCCCAAATCCTTCTCGTGTGTGGTTATCCCTAATTCACTACCATTTAGTGTGTAAGTTGCTTGTGCATTCTTAACCCCGAAGTGCATAACTTTGCATTTCTCTATGTTAAATTTCATCTGCCATTTTAGTGCCCAGTCCCCCAATCTATCCAAATCTCTCTGCAACAAAGCAATATCCTGCTCACATTTTATTACTTTACAAAGTTTTGTGTCATCTGCAAACACTGATACATGGCTTTCAATGCCTATTTCAAGATCATTTATAAATATGTTAAATAGAAGTGGTCCCAAAACAGAACCCTGAGGGACACCACTTACCACTTTTGTCCAGCCTGAAAATTTACCATTAATTACAACTCGTTGTACTCTGTCCTTAAGCCAATGTTCTACCCAAGAACAGGAATATTCATCTAGACCAATTTCTTTTAGTTTGAAGACTAACCTATTGTGAGGAACCGTATCAAATGCCTTGGCAAAGTCCAAGTAGATCACATCCACTGCAACACCCTGATCTATACTTCTACTTACTTCTTCGTAGAATGCAATTAGGTTAGTTTGACATGACCTATGTTTCATAAAACCATGCTGATTATTGCTAATAACAAAGTTCTTCCCAATGAATTCCTGAATATTATCCCTTAATAGCCCTTCAAATATTTTCCCAGTTACTGAAGTTAAGCTCACAGGTCTATAATTTCCAGGCAAGGATTTTGAACCCTTTTTAAATATAGGAACAACATCTGCCTTCCTCCAATCCTCCGGTACAACACCTGAAACAAAAGAATCTTGAAAAATTAGCATAGTGTCAACTTATCCACATTTAAACTATTTCCCAGGGGTGACTGGGAAATGATAAGTTGCTATGGTGTTCTGCAGTCCTGATCTCAACTACCATTGCTGACCATTGAGTCTAAAATGGTCGGGACACTGAACTTTAGTTAAAATTTAAGGAGTGTTCATTGTGTGCATTCCTTTTCCTCGCCCAGGGTTTTATCAGAGGCTTAAGGCTAAGTGATTTTTAACTATGGATTTTGACAGTTCCTTTAAAGATGACTGAATAAAATCTGTATGATGTTACAAAAGCAGAACTCCCTACTCCTTATGATATAACAATTTAACAATATTCTGTTGTTCTCTGCATAGTATTTCACAAGCATCATTTATACGAACTGATTGGCACCATAAATATCTTACATGTGTGTACCTACTTGATCATTGATATTGTATTGTCATTTTATTGGTTTACCCTTCATTAATTAATCTTGGATGCGATATTTGTTATCTTCAGGGCCCAAACCTTCTTCCAAACTACTCTACGGCTGCGCTACCAAAAGTATCTGTGAGATTGGTAAGAATGCTCTTCAAATTGAGAATGTCAAAATCGAAACCAAGTGCACATGTACGGGTAGAAGTGTCAGTCTGTACAGCGGATTCTCATATGCACTAACTATTGCTACTGTCCTGACTAAACTCGTTTTATCATAAACAAGACTGAATATTTTATGGTTTCAGAATGTAGATTCCAAACCTCTTTTATGAGTAATGCTTATAAAATGTGAATTCAGAGAACAATTAAGCAAGTGTGAAGAAGATACAATAGATACTACAATTCTTCCTTTCCTTTTAAAATTGAGGAAAGTAAAAACGTAAAAAAAAAGTATATACAATACTGTCTTTAAGCAATGTGTTTGTTAATCACTTTTCATAGTAATTAAGTGAATAATCAGACAATAATCAAAAATAGAGAATAATGGGATAAATTAGAGCTATAATTTTTGGATAAGGATATAATATTTGGAGTAAGGTGATTAGAGTGAAAATTATTATTTATACATATACATACATATAGATATGTGCAAATATCCATATAGCTACGTAATGGCTACATACAAGCCTGTATAATCCAACTGAAATATTACATGAGCTTGCTGTCTGATACGTAAAGGGATAAGACGTTTAAATTGCTTGTATAATTTAACACATATTGCTGTTAGTAACTATAAGTATTTCAAGGTCAACAAATGCTAGGGCTCCCCCTTCTTGCAAGAAAATCTTTGTGTATTATATTGTGAGAAACTGTAGAATAGGGGGTAGCTCACATTCCTTTGTAACTGATAACTTGTACTTATGCGAAATGTCAAGCTCTGTGAATCAGTTTGGACTGTTTCTCTCTATTGCAATAAAGACATGATCCTATATTTCCACTACTCCGACCTCCGAATGGCTATTTAGAAGAGGCTTTTTTAGATGGTATTGGCTATTTGGCTAACAATATACATATACACATATACATGCCTGCCCAGTCTGATACAAATATATAAGCCGGTAAAACCTCTCCCATATATACATATTTAATTATGTAAGATAAATTTAATTTGCGGTGCAATGTTCCTAAACATGAATATATATCTTTTGGACACCCCATCACCTATCAAAAAGATGTAGTAACATTTAGTGGTCCAAACATCCTTTAATGTTGTGATAGGATCTTGTAAGCGGACGCACCAGCACTATGACACCAGATTCAATAGCAAGATCAGGACAGGACAATTATTTTTCCTAAAAAAATTAGGAAATGTTGTTCTTATTGAGAGAAGTGAGATATGTGTTGTGCATTAAATGGGGGGGAGGGGGGTCATATGACAGCATTAATTAGAATGTATTGCACGTTAGAATCAGCTAGCTACGGCTTTTTTTTTATTAATACCAAGTCCAGGATTAATCTCCAAATACACTCATACCAAATATAGAAAATTAAGAAATGAAGAGTAAGCTCACGGGCTGTCAAATAAAGTACTCTGTATACAATATCTTCTGGGGCTAGATCGCCGCTCACGGCAGGGCTCTCTTTATCTTTGTATCGGTCTGTTTATATTGTACTGTCTTTTTTCCAATTGTACAGCGCTGTGTAATATTTTGCCACTTTATAAGTGCCAGTAAATGCCAAAGATAAATAAACCGAAAAATACAGTAACCCTTTGTGATTGTCTTATTGTTGTTTTTGTAATAAACTCATTGTTCATTGTGGATAGAAAAGAAATGAATGTAAACAGAAACGCTGTTAATATGATGTTTCAAAGGGACACTATCGTCACCAAAACAATTTTTAGCTTAAAGTGACACTCCAGGCACACAGAGCACTTCTGCCCATTGGAGTGGTCTGGGTGCCAACTCCCACTACCCTTAACCCTGCAAGTGTAATTATTGCAGTTTTTATAAATGGCAATATTTACCTTGCAGGGTTAACTCCTCCTCTAGTGGCTGTCTAGAGGGCACTTCCATGATTATAGCACATGAAAAGTGTGCTATAGCGTTGCTGGATGTCCTCATGCTATGTGAGGTCTTCCAGCGTCGCTGAAATCCCCATAGGAAAGCATTGAAAGGATTTTTCAATGCTTTTCAATGAGGAGGTCTAATGCGTGTGTGCAGCATTGTTGCGCATGCGCATTAGGTCTTCGCCGGCGGACGCCGCGCATGCGCAATAGGTCTCCCCCGGCATTAGGTCTCCCCCCGGCGGCGGCCACACCTGCGCATTAGCACTCCCCCGGCGGGGAACGAGCATGGGCGGACCCTGACATCAGCGCTGGATACAGGTAAGTCACTTTTAACCCCTTCAGCAACCTGGGATGGGAGGTGGGAGTGAGAGGGGACCTGCAGTGCCAGGAAAATGGTTTGTTTTCCTGGCACTGTAGAGTCCCTTTAATGAAGCAGTTTTGGTGTATAGATCGTGCCCCTGCTAAATTCTCTGCCAATTATGACTTAAATCACTTTTGTTTCTGTTTATACAGCCCTAGACACTCTTCCCCTGGCTGTGACTGACATATTCTACATGAAAACCAAATTTTCATTTTCAAACAGATATTACTTAATTTAAACATTTTACTTTCTTCTGCTCTGTAAATTGAACTTTAATTACATACAAGAGGCTCTTGCAGGGTCTAGCAGGCTTCATTAAGCTAAAGTTGATAAACTGAAAAACAAAGAAAAGACCTTCAGAAAAATGTGGAGATCTAAAGCTGGCAATGTTGTAAATAGACAATAGATGTGAAAATGTACTTAAAGGTTCTTAGTAGTTATAGTATTCATCAGTATGGGGAAACAGCATTCAATCATGCTAACTAGTGCCTTGCGACTATATTAAAAGGGACTCAAAAAACTTCACCAATAGCTCTAGAAGTCAACAGTTTGACACCCCCTCTTTCTTCAATTGTAGCTCCAAGGGTTTGGTCTATTTGATCACTTGCCAATGTCCGATGTTATATGTGGGAAAAACATTTCGTCCCTTTAGAAGAAGAATTCTTGAACATGTAAATTCAGTCAAAACAACAAGACATATTGAGACTCCGATCTCCAGACATGTTAAAAATATGCATGGGGGTGACTCCACAGTTCTGAAGTTCCAAGGTATAGAACTTATAAGACAGGACCAAAGGAAGGGCAACTGGGACCAACAGATAAGGAGGAGGGAGTGCTATTGGATCTATCAACTCCAGACTCTGTCTCCTAAAGGGTTGAATGAGGGATTTACTTACTCCCGATTTATTACATGATCTCTTAATGTAAATATTGACAATAAGGAAATTTGCAGAATGTACTGTTAAAAATGAATCTCACACTAAATTGATTGTGTTTATTAAAAATTATGTACAAAAAATCACCAATCTACTTCTGTCTAAGGTTAATATAGGATGACTGATATATAGTTATAAATTCTATTGAGGGTCATTTGAAGAAAAGTGCATAATCATAATTTAGCTTTATCATAGATATCTCTTTAAATCTTAATGGCAAATTCGTTAATATCTGATACAACCTACATAATTTAATGTAGGATTATAGCACATGAAAAGTGTGCTATAGCGTTGCTGGATGTCCTCATGCTACGTGAGGTCTTCCAGCGTCGCTGAAATCCCCATAGGAAAGCATTGAAAGCATTTTTCAATGCTTTTCAATGGGGAGATCTAATGCGTGTGTGCAGCATTGTCACGCATGCGCATTAGGTCTCCCCCGGCGGCCGCCGCGCATGCGCAATAGGTCTCCCCTGGCATTAGGTCTCCCCCGGCGGCGGCCACACCTGCGCATTAGGTCTCCCCCGGTGGGGAAGGAGCATGGGCGGACCCTGACCCAGCGCCGAGGGACATCGGCGCTGGATACAGGTAAGTCACTTTTAACCCCTTCAGCAACCTGGGATGGGAGGTGGGAGTGAGAGGGGACCTGCAGTGCCAGGAAAACGGTTTGTTTTCTTGGCACTGTAGAGTCCCTTTAATGAAGCAGTTTTGGTGTATAGATCGTGCCCCTGCTAAATTCTCTGCCATTTATGAGTTAAATCACTTTTGTTTCTGTTTATACAGCCCTAGACACTCTTCCCCTGGCTGTGACTGACATATTCTACATGAAAACCAAATAGTTTCATTTTCAAACAGATATTACTTAATTTAAACATTTTAATTTCTTCTGCTCTGTAAATTGAACTTTAATTACATACAAGAGGCTCTTGCAGGGTCTAGCAGGCTTCATTAAGCTAACGTTGATAAACTGAAAAACAAAGAAAAGACCTCCAGAAAAATGTGGAGATCTAAAGCTGGCAATGTTGTAAATAGACAATAGATGTGAAAATGTACTTAAAGGTTCTTAGTAGTTATAGTATTCATCAGTATGGGGAAACAGCATTCAATTTTCAGTTTATCAATTTATCAGGGTACATGCTGGCACCATCATCTGACCAGTCATTAGTATTTAACCTCTCATACTCCGTCTTTTCATCTTTGGAGTGGATTGGTGAATACAAGGTGACTAAACTTCTATCTATAATTCATTAAGCTAAAGTTGTTTTGGTGACTATAGTGTCCCTTTAAACAAGTATCTGCCTATATTACATAAGTGTCTTCATAGATGGCGATATGCTATTGTGTAAATTGATTCAGATACTTTGTAGTGCAGTCTAAGAATAGTTTATCAGTGAGGTTTGGTGCTGCATTATAAGAGAGTAGAGTATCGCCATCTGGTGGCAGAAACATACATAGTAAAAAAGAGGAATTGGGGATACACACACAGCAGGCATTTCTCAGCAGTGGTGCTGTCGTAGAGAGAAATGTATACAAAATACAGCTTAAGGAACCGTGCACACAGAAAAAGACAGTTTTAGGCTACTTCAGATCTCAGCAAATAGACCTGGGGATTCATTTCCACCACATGGCCATATCATGTTAAGCCCACTCACTATTTTTTTGTGGTATGAGAATAGTAAAATATTTCTGTCAGTTTTGCAAAAAGAAAAATTGGTATTTTAATTATAAAGCATAAGAGCATTGAATATATATTTAACTAGGGACAAAAGTGGCATTCCACGGTGATCCACTGTCATTAACCACCAACAACATATGGGATAATTGTAACATGTATTTTCACAGTGGTATTATTTTTTTAATCCAGAGTTACTGGTGCTTTAAATACAGTATACAGATAGAGAAATAGCCTGCATATCTCAGAGTACCAGTTTTTTTCTATTTGCACTGCAGTGAGTTTTACCATGTTTGGTCTCACCACAGCCTATTTGGCACCAAATTATAAACATTTAGGCTTCTTATTATTTACAGAGATATCGCTCTCTTGCTCTGGTTATTTCTATATAGAGGAAGATTAACTAATTTTTTCAAGAGTTGACTGTTTATTTTACAGTCCACATCAATAATAACTTTTGATTAATTCCTTCTTCTCCGATGTGAAAACATTTTGACACTTATTGGAGATTGCCCAGAACCCAAAGTCGCCTCCTTCTGCTTGAAATGACGTTATGGGAATATTCACTTCCTAATTATCTGCCCAAAGCATTTTATGAATCATAACAAGAATTGGTTGCATAAGGGCATGCATTCACAGGAGACTGCATAAGAGACATCAATATATCTCAGGCTAGTCATAGAATGGGGTGGTAGAATACAGATTTTCTCACTTAGATTACTCTTCACTCGATATTGGTTCGACCTAAAAAAAAACAGCTAAAAAGATACTTAGAGTATAGAAACGTTTTCATGCTCCCAGTATCCTATAATCCTTCTGTCTATTAAAGACTTAATATGTATAATACAAAAGAGAGAGATTAGCAGGTGACAGCAAAAGACTTTGTGACAGCCTGTGACATTAAATCCCACGGTTGGAGAGTGAGTGTATATACATTTGGAACAAACTCAGCCTAAGTACTTATACACATAAAGAAAAGGATGGAAAAAAAATAAAATAAAATGAAAGTATAACACATGTACACAGTGGAAATGCTAAGGTAACATATATTTGAATTGTAGTGTTTAAATCGAAACTGCAGCTTCCCCCTTCATTGCGGACCCCCATGCCCACTGTGGTGCAGTAGAGGTTAAAAATCCTTTCTGTCATTTACCTGGGTTCAACACTGATATCCCTCGGTGCTGGCTCGGGACGCCTTCACTCCTCCACTGCTGACCTCAGCCGTCAGGGAAGTCATAATATTCAAGCGCGGTAATGTTCGCGCTTGCATTAGGATTTCTCTAATATACAATGTTTTCCTATGGGGTTTTGGTCGACGCTGTAAGTTCTCATGCATAGCGACCACAGCGACCCTCTAGTGGCTGTCTGTTAGAGGTGGAGTTAACCATGTAAAGTGATTATTGCAGTTTCTTAAATACTGTAATAATTAGCTGTGCTTGGTTAATGGACTTGGAACAATGCACCCAGACCACTTCAATGAGCGGAAGTGGTCTGGGTGCCCTTTAAGAAAGAGTATTTGCGTAGACAATTTATTAAAAAGCCAGTTGTTGGTTGGACTATGCGAATCCCCATTTAATTTGGTAACTTTACACTTTCAGATGAATCTGATCCAATGAAAGAGTAATTTAGGTTTTTGTGCGTGACTCATTTCTTATACAATTGACAAATACGTCCTTAAGCAATGCACTGTTGCTTCATAACTGGACAATCAGGAATAAGCCGCATCCAAGGAGGAAAAGCAAGCCACTTGGTAAATTAAGATAATGAGCTTGCTAATACTATTCATATGTGTTTTTGTTTTCCATTATCTTATCTTATTTTATTTTTAGCAAAGTAAAAGGAACCCTGAATGAACGAATAAATAAAGTGGTGTGAAAATCAAAAGCTAAACAAACAAAATGATATCCATGTATGAGACCAACGAAGAAGAAAATAAAGCTGAGATTGGAAGGTCTAGGTTGACACCCTCTTAGATATTAGTGTATGGGGGCTGCTGGAACAAGTATTTGTAAACATTTATTTCCGTACACAATTTGTGGGATTTTGGAAGAGGAAGGTGCCTATAGATTCATCTTGGTTAATGTCAGACACTATGGATTCCTCACAATTAGCCTACTCCTGCCTCAAATGGGATGAAAGAGCTGGGACAATGTCTACAGTTCACCTTGGATAATAGGAATAACCTAGAACTCTTGGTATTTGGTGGGCCCCAATGCCACCACAGGAAGTTGGTATTTCCATTACATTACTTACAATTTCCATAGATATATGTATACATTGCACTTCTACATTCAGATCCAGATGAATGCATATTCGTCCCAATTTCAGAGACTTGAAAACTACCGTCAATATCCAGACGCTGGACGGGAGGGGGGTCTTTCTTTTTAAACCCATCACTTGCTGGCAATAAGTAAGAGGTCTAAAATGAAAATGGTCAGTCTGAATTTAATTTAGAACAAAAATATATAGAAACAAAATTAGGATGAACCAAACCACTACATGGACAACATTCGCTTCGTCCTAATAATTTTTGATTTTTGGACAAAACATTTCGGATGAACCAAATTTCATCCACATGCAAGTCGAGTGTGTATGAATGAGGTTGGACAATAAGAAGGTTGCCATGGGGATATCTTCATGTGCATGAGTCAGGGAGAGCACGCTGTGCTTGTTATCTGGGTCCCAAAGACACTCTTCTGTTTATTAGGGGCAGGCATGCTTTAAGTGAATTAACTCAAATTTACAGAAAGGAAATAGTAAACTACAAATGCAATGATGGCAAAGAAAATATAGGGAACAAACATCCATGGAAAGGTAAAACATAAAGAAGAATTAGTTATTAATTTTTTAATATCCATCTGCTTACTGTGGCTTGCTTCATTCATTCATTCATTCATTCTGTTTTATACTGTTCCATGTCTTTTCAGACAGAATTTATTTTGGGACTGATTAAAATAATTTCTGAATGTTTTGGGTTTTGATCCCCTTAATTGACCAGAAGTGTCCTGAATGATTTTTGCATCGTAGCTTGTTTTTAGAAAATAGTAGTATAGATACTACTGACAATGACTTTAATCGGTCTAATTATAAAAGTTGCAAGACAGCTTTTTTATGAGCCCCGCCTGATTTTGTTGCATTCATGTTTCATTGTCTTCTAGGAATCGTGCATGGATTTGTCACCCACACACCAAACCTACTTGCCCAAACTGATCACAATGTCCTACTCCTCCCAATCTCTCTCTGATTGTATTTAAATATGAGTCTTTCGCTTCATTACCTGACTACATCGTGAAGATCTGGCATCCCCTTTCCATAGACACTGAATCCATAACTTTGTTATGAAACATTTACTTGGATTACTGTGCGGCCTTTCAGCTCTTGTAGCTACAGGTACGTCTATTCATGCATGAAAATCAAATATAAAAGAAATTGGAAGTCACTGTTTAGTAGATGTACCACATGCATGTATTCATTGGGGGATATCTTAAAACTTTGCAAGCCCCCCCCCCCTTTTTCCCCAGAAGAGACTTTCAGTGATTGAGAAACCTCTGAAGGTCTCCTCACATACAGCATTGTGATCTGAGGTCAGTGGAAGCTGGTCTGAGGTCTATGCAATGGGGAGGAAGACGTGCATAAGTAGAGCGTGCCTCCTATTTCCGTTAGCTCATCAAAGCTGGCGGTGGCGGGAAGCAAAAAGAAACCTCCTGTGGCTGTTTGACAGTCAGTACGATGTTTAATAAATTATTATAATTTATAATAGAAAGTATCACTTTTATAAACTGCCATTAGTGTGGGATACTACATAACCATTTTGTTTACATGCAGGCTATGTCAGTCACAGCCAGGGGAAGTGTAGCTAGGGTTGCATATACAGAAAAAAAAGTAATTTAACGCTTAAATGACAGAGAATTGAGCAGTGAGACTGTGGGGGCATGATCTATACACCAAAACTACTTCATTAAGCTAAAGTTGTTTTGGGCACTATAGTGTCCCTTTTAACCCTTCACATGCTGTCTTTAATGACGATCACTAGTTTTAAGCACCTTGAGTTTATGTTGTTCACTTCAAACATATACACATCATAACAAACCTTCTATATACTTATATATATGTTTGTTAACATAAAACGAAAAAGAATGATGAATAAAAACAAGTCTAACAAAATTTTAAATCCATCTAGAAAATGGAGATTTAAGTTGCTCGTTGTGAATTTGTTTGAATCTTTGTAGAGTCCTTACTGAATTCCCAAATATTTCTTCCAGGTTACTCTCTCTCGTGTGTAAAGTGTTTAGCACCCGGCCCCAACTCCTGCAATGGTACCAGCATCAACTGCACTTCTGATCAAGTGTGTTTATCTTCTTATGAAGTAACTTCTCGAAGTATGTTTTAGATTTTGATTTGTTTAATTCTTCATTTTTTATTTTTAATAGTTATGTGGATCTCTTTCATTTAAATGTTCACATTTAAAGACTGCAACTGGGGAGATGTTTTTCTGTTTTAAATTTAATCTGAATTTAACATGCACATGTCAGGACTGGTCAAGGAACAGACTTAGAGCCCAATTTTGGGAAGGGTACAGCTAGTTTACCTCCCAGTTACTTACCCTCTCAGGGTTTGGGTGGTGGAGCTCAAGATGCAGGAACAGAAAGCTGAGAGGAACAGGAAGGTGCCAGGTAACAGACCTGGAGAACCCAAGAATGTAGTCAGGTCTGGTGGAAGTTCAGTCCACGTGGTTTGTAGGTAATAAGACAGGTCAAAGGGTAAATAACCAGTTCAGGATTGAACAGCAGAAACACAGTTGTTCACAAAGTAAAGGAACGTTCAAGCAATAATACAGTGCCTGGAGCAGCCTTATAAAGGGGTACATAGCGTATACCCCCTTCTGCATCATATCCACATCCAGTGTTGTTCTTGCATCACTCTGCCCATTTGCTATATCCTTTGCTATGCCAGGTACTCTGCCTGTGGCATCAATTGTATTGACAGACGATGCTGGCCGCAGCATTACTTCTGGTGACTGTGCTACTCGCACCCTGCGTTGTGCACTTCTAGATTGTAAGCTCTTTGAAGCAAGGTCCTCTTCATCCTATTGTCCCTGTAACATTTTGTGAATGTCTTGTCTATTGCTAAATTTCCCCCTTTATAATATTGTAAAGTATTGTGGGAAATGTTGGAATACCAATAATAATAATATTATATAAACATTCTTTTTTTTCATTCAGCCTGCTTATTTAAGCCACTAATAAAGAGATCACAGATAGTAAGTGTCCCATTTCACTTTTTCGTCTGACATGTTTTTACATTTTAACTTGTCCTCCCGGATGCTCTGATTCAATATTCTAATCTCTCTTTCCCATTAATATCATGAGTCGAGAGGAGGAAAGCTATACTAGCGTAGGCTACTGTCAAAACCAATTTGGTTGTTTCATTTAATTCTGTAACTATTTAACTTTTTAAGTAACTTATTTGTGTTTGTTTATATGCCATTATGTGTTGTATCTCACTAAAATATTTTTTGTATGATGTCTACAGACGGAGTGAAGGTGTCTGAAATATTTTCTCGAGATTGTCTGCCTAGGACACTGTGCGATGTGGAAGGATCTTGGAGTGCGTTGGGTGGCATGAAGTCACAAGTTGCCACAAGATGCTGCTTCTCTGATAATTGTACTCCACCTGAACCCAAATGTAAGATCATAATGTTTGAAACTTGTATTGATATTTATCAAGTTTATTAATCTCAACAACATATCACTATTAACCATTAAATTATTAATTTTTAAGAGGCATTGTTTACATTCATCCTATTGGCTGTAGGTTTGTTCATACATGTACATGTAAAGATGTACGGATTCATATAAATCCAAATTAGAAAATACACAGTTCGGGCGTGTCCGGCTTCCGGTGAGAGAGGACGCATGGCATAGGAGCTCCGCCGTTATCCCGACCTGTAGCGACTAAATGAGCGACTGACCCACCGCTACCCGTTACCCTGAGCTTACGGGAATATCACAGCACCCTACAATGCCACCTCCTAAGCAGTTAAAGCTGTCAGAAATGACAAAATCGAAAAGAGCGGACCGCCGCAAAGATATCCAAGATGGCGACGACACCTCTAATTTATCTGATGGACAATCAGACTACGAACTAAGTTCATCCAAATACTCTGAAGCTCCAGTGACGGAACGCAGCCTTCACAAAATGCTGCAAGAACTTAGAGCTACTATAACAGCGGATTTTCACTGCATTAATGGCGATCTGAGGAAAGAAATCTCTAATATTGGTGACAGGACCATTCACCTGGAAAATAAAACGGACGAGCTCTGTATAGCACATAACGAAGTTGTGGATAAGGTTCAGAAATTGTCTGAAGAAAACTCTTTATTACGTGACAAACTTGCCGACATGGAAGACAGGTCAGGAGGCAAAATATAAGATTCAGGGGCATACCGGATGATGTTACGCAAGAAGCACTACCAGCGCACATTCTATCTATTTGTAACACCCTGGTCCCAGGCCTACCTAATTCCGCATGGGCTTATGATCGTATGCACAGACTCCCACGGCCTGCGCATTTACCAAAAGAAGTCCCTAAGGATGTTATCGTAAGATTCCATTACTTTGCTCACAAGGAAACTTTGCTGGCAGCGGCGAGGAAAGCCCCAACACTCCCAGAACCTCATCAACGGATTGCACTCTTTGCAGATTTATCAGCAGCTACGATGGAGAAACGAAGAAGTTTCATCACAGTAACTAAAACTTTACGGAACAACAACGTGGCTTACAAATGGGGTTATCCAACCAAATTAATCATCTGGCGACAAGGCCGCAACCACATAGCGACTGACCCGACAGAGGGTATGAAGTTGATTTCAGCTTGGGGACTATGGACTGGTACTCCTCAAATCCAAAGCAAAGCTCCGGTTAATGCATCCCCGAGGAAACTTCAAGCAGACTGGCAAATGGCGAAATCACCAGCCAACACTCCATGACCTCCTTATGGTTACTTATGTCCACAAAGTTATTGATAAGTATCTTGGATATGTATTTGAGTTTATAACACTTCGTAGATTTATACCTGATGTTCAAGTTAGTATTGTCGAGATACTGTCAGTTTAAGTCATGTATATAGTTACATTGTTGTACATGCTATATTCCAGAGATGTTATTAAGGGATTATAATTATATGGCTCACCCATAGGACGAGGTGCAGACTGATATTCTGGGTACCTTTTACTGTAATATCTTTATGTAGCATTGGACACATATTTGCTACATGCAGAGTAGTTTATGCCGAGCTTTAAGTATACCTACCCCAAACTTCAACTGATACGGTTCTGGTAGCTCAGACCACATGTTCAACTCGCTCTGCAGAACAGTTATTGTCCACATGATTTGCAGATATTTTGAGTGATTTTTTACAATATGTGATTGCATACCCAATATGTTTAACTTCTTCTAGGGGGCGAGGTCTTCCTGCACGGCTGTGTATTGAAGTTCTAGACAGTGTTCCACCCCTGGTACTGGTACTCCAGTCCTGGAGTGTTATATTTATATATATATATATAATGTTAGATTGCAGGCACGATTAACTGACATGGGCGCATATACCCAGAGCCTGTATCCGTCTTATAATTAGCAACCACCCATAATATTGCCTAGCCGATGACGCTACCGCAGGACAAAGAGGTGTTACTTATCTCTATAAGACCTCACCCTGAGGGACACCCAAAAGCATCTACTACTGTGGATGTCCAAGGAATCACTCGCTCTATAACAAGAGACGGCTATGCAACACACATTGAATTGGATAGTCTCACAGTCACACCATCTAGATTATTCTGAGTCATTGGTCGGGAGGAGCCCACAAGACCTCCCTAGGTCGCCATGGGATGTGTTCTTACATATCCTACGGATGACGGTTTATGTGGAACCCACTAAGGGTTTCCTCTGTATATACCTGTGTTATTGTTATTGTTTGTTTATCCATGGTTTTTTCCCTTTCCCTCTCCCTCCACTTCCACCCTCACAAGTAGGCTTTGTTGCTCACACCACATTAGGCCGTTACATGGCATTTGGAAATGTCCACTCGGAAGGGAATATTGTGAATGGCCCCAACACAATCTGGGATCCCATGTCCCCGGAGTGGGCAACGGGGTATACCTCAAGGGGCGCTATTCTGCACAGTTCCAAACTAAGATGCGACAGAGGTCCAAATCACCACTTCACTTTATGATATAGATGCTGCCTAATACACTACAAATCTTTTCCCTTAACGTTAAAGGCCTCAATAGCCCCTACAAACGAAAGCAACTGCTGAAAGACATACATAAAGCAGGAGCTGCGATTGTATGTGTCCAAGAGACGCATCTCGCGAACCGTAACCCTCCTCAGATCCGTTCCCCAATGTACCCACAAATGTACCACGCATACTCACCAACTAAGTCCAAAGGTGTTGCAATTTTTTTCCACAAAGATTGGCTTTACACAGCTCAAAATCAATTCACCGATCCATCTGGCCGCTTATTGGTCCTGGTAGGCGAACTGAATGGTATTCAAGTAACGGTGGTATCGCTTTACGCTCCTAATGAAGCTCAATTCTCATTTCTTAATAAGGCAATTAAGAAAATACATTTCATTAGAAAGGGCCACGTTATTATTTGTGGTGACTGTAATTGCACCCTCATGCCCTCTTTAGATATACAACGCACCAAAAACAAACCTCCCAATAAATTATCTATTCACAATAGTAAACTGTTCTCTCGGCTTCTCCATGAGCAAGATCTATATGACACATGGAGAAATTTATTTCCAACAGCACGAGATTACACTTATTTCTCACAGGTACACCTAACATACACACGCATCGACCTGTGCCTAGTCGACAAACATACCCTCCCACATCTTATGGACCAATCCATTGGGCTTCGGACATGGTCCGACCATGCCCCCATCCTGGTTACCCTAGCAGTGCCATACCCCACAAAAGGGAGAGGTAAATGGCGTTTGAATGAATCTCTCCTTGATAACCCTGCTGATGTTCAATATATCTCCACGGTACTAGATAATTACTTTGAGGTTAATTCCACTGAAGACACCACTGTAGAAACTCAATGGCTAGCACACAAAACAGTTGTCAGGGGTCACTTCATCAGATTGGGTTCCATAGCTAAAAAAAGCTATATTTCTAAAGAGACTGCACTTCGCCATACCCTTAGGAAGTTAGAAGAATCCAATAAACAATCCCCATCTAAACCAGTCACCCGTCAAATTACCAAAGTACAACAGGATATTCACCTTCTTCAATCACAAATATACACCAAGCAAGTACGCAAAACCCAACAATTGTATTACTTTTCAGGGAACAAGGCAGGCAAGATTTTGGCTAACCAACTGAAAGCAAAATACCTACAAACTAAAATCCCTTATCTATATTCCAAAGATCACGCACGAATATATAACCCGAATACGATTGTTGAAGAATTGGCCGGTTTTTATGAAGACCTGTACAATCTTCGCAATAACCCCAACACCAAATCCCCCAGTGTTGTAGACATTACACGATACCTCTCTCGAATCACACTCCCTCAAATACCGACGCATCACATGAATCTTTTAGACGCACCGTTCACGGAAAATGAAGTGAGTAATGTGATTAAATCCCTGCCAAAACATAAAGCACCGGGACCTGATGGTCTCTCCAACTATTATTATTTGAAATTGGCATCGCGATTAATACCACACCTTACAAAACTATTTAACAAAATAAGAACGACAGGTAAATTCCCACAAGATATGCTAGAAGCTTACATTATCACCTTGCCTAAGCCAAATAAACCACCAACATATTGCGGTAATCTCAGGCCGATTTCATTACTTAATGCCGACGTTAAGTTGTATGCCAAGCTGCTTGCCAACAGAATTCGCCCCCTGTTGTCCTCATTAGTCTCAGAAGAACAAGCGGGCTTTGTTTCTGGCAGGCAGGTTGGGGACAACACCAGATACTGTATGGACTTAATTGATTGGGCCAACCTCAAAAATAAATCAGGTGCTTTGTTGGCGTTAGATGCGGAGAAGGCATTTGATCGCCTAAATTGGGATTATATGTCAGAGACCCTGTCGGCTTTTGGTTTCTCCAATGCTTTCATTACCAGCATTATGGCCTTATATTCTGCCCCATCTGCTAAAGTTTTCAGTTCTGGCTTCACATCACGTAATTTTCGTATAACCAACGGTACGAGGCAAGGGTGCCCCTTGTCGCCCTTGATCTTCATTTTATGTTTGGAACCTCTAGTTAGAACGATCAAACTTGAGGCGGCGCTACCCGGTATAGATACCCCGGCAGGAGAAAAAAAGTTGGCACTTTTTGCCGATGATGTAATTATCTTTTTAGCTAACCCAGCTGAATCCATTCCTCACCTATTACAAACACTGGCCACGTATGGAGACATCTCCTATTACAAGAATAATGTTAATAAAACCCAAATACTACCCATAAGACTTAATAAGCAATTGGTGAGCGAACTGAAAAACACATATCAATTTGCGTGGCAAACTAACGCAATTTCGTACCTAGGCATCAAATTAACGCACTCCAAATCCCTAACACGCAATATGGCCAAAGGCAGAACTACTGTACCTTGCACCACTATCAGCCCTCTCCGCCTTATCTCCCGACCTCCAAACATCTAAATAGTCAAGCTTAGGTGTTACGCATGTACATAAATTGCTTGGTACAAATGGCATTCACCCTTTCCCAACACTGCAGGAACGGTACAACTTACCCTCGAGAGATATTTTCTTGTATCTGCGTGTAAAACATATCTTACTGTCACATTCGATTGAGCACATTGACCCGCTGTCACTTAGTAATATAGGCTCACAATGTTACCATACTAGACTGATACGTCCCTCTTGCAAACTTCTCTCCCTATGCTATAGGACGCTGTCTGATATTCACGGACACTCCAAACTAACTTACATGAAGCAGTGGGAGACATCGTTAGGAATAACCCCAACTCTCATGGAATGGGAACAAGCCATCACCTACACCAAAAAATCTTCGAAATGTGTCATACTTTGGGAAGCCTACTTTAAAATGTTAATGAGATGGTACTTGGTCCCGAGCAAGATTCATAAAATTTACCCCAATTCTCCCTCAATATGCTGGCGTTGCAACTCCAGTTTAGGGTCTATAGAACATATATTTTGGCACTGCCCCAATCTGCAAAACTTTTGGAAGGATGTCCAAACAACTATTCGTGCGATCTGTAAGATTACATTCCCGCTATCCCCAGAAATTTACTTGCTCCACATTATCCCTAACCTACGTGATATACCATCTAGAGACGCAGTATTAAATATACTAGTGGCAGCAAAAATTAGCATTGCAGCCCACTGGAAAGACACCAAGCCTCCTTCTTTGAAGGAGACTCTAGGAAGGGTGGAGGTTACATACCACCACGAATGCGAATGGGCAAAAGGAGGTAATAGGTCACACGTTCTGGACAAATGGAAAAATTGGGAGTCTTTTAAAGATTCTCATGCTACAAGGTAAAGAGCAGATCCCGCAACTAAGAGTGGATAAAGTACTCTATCTAGAACAAGGCCTACCACTACATGACGAGTTACTAGGCTATCCTATCCCACTATACCTAGTAAGACTACTAAGCCACATCCATACCACTAATTTGCTATACCCCGCTATAATAATAAAAGTACTATAACCTAAGACAAGATGCGCCCTACTGTACCCTTCCCACTCCCCCCTCCTCCCCTTTCAGTTATTACGGTTATCTCATGTATATATATTTGTAACTGTTTATTTATATCAAGTTCTTATTATGCTAGCATATGTCACATAAATATTTGCCTGGGAGCAGTAAGAAAGTTTCGAATGATGTGTCCACCATGGATTGAGGAGAACTTAGGTATATCACATAAATTTCGCCCACTACCTATAAACCCTCATAACACTACAACATACGGCAAGTCCACTTGATCTATAAGTTACCCTTACTGGCGAAACTACATACCCTTCACAATAGGCCAAGCTACCCTGCATCACCTTTACAGCTGTGTTTTCTCCCTCTCTTAATATTATATCTTCATAACTGCTATCCTGTTATCGGATACTTGGCTGTACATCAAGCAGATACTAATGCAGCAGAGGGGAGAGCGGTTTAGATCAGCCGTGTATATAAAATGGCGACAAATATCGAACTTCATGGCTACAATCAATAGTAATGTTTACCTGTGTATCCCCATATGTATGTATGTAGGTACCTAATGCGCCAGACCACTCCTTCCTTCACATGGTGTATGTATATAAGCGTGTATAAAGTGAAACATGATAATAAGGCTACTGTATATGTCATTACCGTAATTTTATGTTCTTTTATGCTCTTTTATGTTCTTCCTTTCTGTTATCTTGTTTGTGTATCATAATAAGCTGTATGTATTATGTTACATGAGGAACTTGTCTCCTCTACTGTACCTCTTTATAAAACAATAAAAACATACATTGAAAAAAAAAAAGAAAATACACAGTTCGAGATGGCTTTCTCCTATCAGCTTGCTTACTGTATAGGGCGGTGCTCTTGCCTTCATTTTACTAATTGTAGGTTAAAGGAACCTTAAAGGGTCAGGAACACAAACATGTATTCCTGACCCTATAGTGTTAAATACATCATCAAGCCAACCTGCCTCACCCTTGCCCCGCTAAATATAATAAAGTCTTACTTTTATTTCAGTCTGCTGCTGGCTCTGCCCCTGATCTGCCTGCTTGGCTGACATCATTAGAAGTGTTGGTCTGAGCTAATTACAATGCTTTCACATCAGGGGCATAGCCAACACAAGCTAAACACAGCTCTGGCCAATCAGCATCTTCTCATAGAAATTAATTGAATCTATGCATCTCTATGAGGAAAGTTCAGTGTCTCCATGCAGAGGGTGGAGACACTGAATGTCAGTCACAGTGTGCAGCACTGCCCCAGGAAGCACCTCTAGCAGCCATCTGATGAGTGGCCAGTAGAGGTTTCCCTAGGCTGTAATACAAACACTGCATTTTCTCTGTTTACTGCAAAAAGCCTGAAGGGAATGCCCACACTCACCAGAACAAATACAATAAGCTGTAGTTTTTTTCTGGTGACTATTTTGTTCATTTGAAATTCTGAGTGTGCGCAGAGAGCTGTTTGTTTGCAAAGTCAGTACAACATTTACAATAACTGCTACAAATAAAACTCAGCCAACTATTTAGAGTTATAAGAAACAGCCTTTCAGTAATGCTAAAAAGGGGAATAAGGGGCGCACCCGGAAAATGCAGTGGTACTACCGTGAAGATCACAATTTATACAAAATACAGTTTAAGGAACAGTACATTTTCAAAGTTAACTTTTAAAGTTTCAAATAAATAGTGATTTGTCAGAATTTCTGACAATTGCTATAATGTCTGAAATCCTGAAATGCTATAAGGACCAATCATTAACAAACGAAACATGTAACAGACAAATAGTTTAATTTTATTTGTCAGTCAGAGTTCCATTTCGGGCATCAAAAAACGAGACGATTGTGGGGAGAAAATAATGATTGATGGTTATGATACAGTCACTTAATGTTGATTTTATTCACAGATCATGTGAGAAGTGACAAATAAATATAAAATGTTATTTTTTTTCCACTGTTCCTCCTTTATTCCCCTTTTTTGGTTTCTTCTCCTCACGTGACAGGAAAAACCAAAATGGCTGGAAAATGGGCCTATCTGTGTACTGCAAAGTATATACATAATATTTATATATCACAATTTAGAAAATGAATTGAATTTAATCCTCTTTCCTTGTCATCCCCTTAAAGTACCGGCTGTGAGTAATGAAGTGAATGGATTGACGTGTCCAACATGTATTTCTGTAGAGTCTGATAGGTGTTCCGCAGAAGATGTTATCCAGTGTACGGGCAATGAGAATAAGTGTTTTCTAATAGCCGCGGACATCACAGGTAATGCAGTATTACTCGTTTTTTACAAAGGTTGAAGATTACAGGTTGAAGAATTATATTTACTAAAGATAAATGCAGTCCAACACGGGTGGCTCTATGGTAAATCTGTAATGCTTTGCTAGCCTTAAAGGGACACTCCACATGCCCAAATGTCTATAAATAAAAATCACTGTTTTTTAAATATACTCCCAACGAAAACATGCATGCATTTAATTATGCATATTTTCATTGAGGTTCTATCTAAAAGCAACTAGCAAAAATTGCAGATTTCTTGTTTGCAGCCTTTGCAAGCCCTCCCCTTCTAACCCCGCCCAGACTTTCAATGTCTGTCCAATCACATACTTCCCAATGCAGCTAAATTAAAAGTCTTTCAAAAAGTTGCTCTGGCAGTTGCTGCCTCTTGATTTGTGCTCCACTGAATCAAGCAACCAGGAAGTAATATATAACCAGTAAGGTTATTTTACAAAAGTTGTATTTTCTATTGAAGTGCTTTAGGTGTGAAGAGTGTGTCTTTTTTTCATTTTACAAAAAGTGCAGATTTAAAAAACAATTTGGTAATTTTATAATTCAACCTTTTCCCCCTCACTTGAAGTCAATCAGACAACCGGTGCTATTACTTCCTGTTTGTTTAGTTCAGTGGAGCTAAACTGAATGGCAACAATAGCCCAGAGCACCTGCCTTGCAAAGACCTTTCATTGAACTGTATTGGAAAGTCTGTGATTGGACAATCACAGAAAGTTTGGGCTGGGAAAAAATGGGAGGGCTTGCAAAGGCTGCAGACAAGATATTATCCAAATGAAAAATGAAAAAGTGATTTTTTTGGGGGGGGTATTTGTGCAAAGGAGTGTCCCTCTATGAGTCTGGAGTACAAAGCCTACTCTGCAGTACAAGTACACTAAACCATTTCAAGCTTAATCGCTAGAAATGATCTAACATTATATGAAAATAATTGAAAAATAAGTACAAATGATAACAAGAACCATAAAGAGGATATATATATATATATATATATATATATATATATATATATATATTGACACTGTGAGTTGGTCTGTAGCTCAACTATAAACAAATGCCAAATTAAGACACATATATTGTGCTGGCAGTTTATAAAATATCCAAAACCTTTATTTGGAAATGCATAAACGTGTTAACTTTATTTTACTAGTGTACACCTTTTTTTTATATTGTATAATAATTGTTTATTTCCAATAATAATAATTATTTGTTCTTCAGGAAACGTATCCTCGTCCTTAATATTTCGTGGTTGCTCTACCGAAATTTTCTGTGTCCTCGGAATGCAGTCTGTATCGTCGAATGATATACATGCGGATTTAAAGGTTACATGCACTAATGGAAGTGCTGGCCCCTTTGGTGGATTTTCCCTGTTAGTAATCACTGTTATCACCATCATGATATCAGTCATCCACTGTAACTTTTTATAGTTTATAAAAGAAACCCAGGGTGAGCTAAAGGTCAGTGACACCTACGGACAGAATACATGTGGTACCTTGCGCTGGGTGTGGTTAAATTAACCCTGCCTTTATTTATTGCTTTCTTTATATGTTTATATGACTGTATGTGAACCTGTATGTAACAGTGACTGCGGGGATATGCAACTGGTTAGTGACTGAAAGTGGGTGAGAGATTGTTGAAATGATATTTGAGCGACTTTTGCACCCCAAACACATTTGAATGCTAGAAAGACATACATAAAATAGATATTAGTTATATGCATAAATATTGTATTATTAAATAATTAAATACTGCATTATTTTACAAGTTAAAAAAATATAATGCTCACAAAAATGTTTTTAGAAAAAGAGTTCCTAGTCTGAATGGCTTTTCTTCAGTCTAGGGCTTTGATTTACTAAGCTTTACACATGCTATACTGTCAACACTGTAAAACCAAACTTTCCCAATGATTTACAACTACAGAAGTCACCATTAAAGTTTAAGTGGTATTTTTGTAGATAAAGTATTTGGAAACAGTATTGAATAATTTGAAAAGCTTATCAAACTGACCTTTAGTGTGAGATCCTTATCTTGTCTCACACAGGAAGCTGCTGGCAGGGAGAACTGCTTTATGTTGGCATTATCTGACAATGAAGGTAGTTGTAAACACTTCAGAACACTGATCAGTGACATAAGAATGACAATCCTCCCCACAAGTCCTATAATAATCTCTGGTATTGATTCTGAAACTGAGTTATGGGGAAATGTATCTTTTGAGGACCTGTACAGGAACGATGCATGGGTAGAACTTCAAAAATAATATATTTTCACGCATTGTACTTTTTTATCCATTCATGTATCTCTATGCATTTAAACTGCATATTTGTTTTTTAATGTGTTGGTAAAAACTTTTTTATTCAATAAAAGATAAACCCAAGTGTTTATTATTTCTCAATATAATTTGTTCAGTGTATTAATGTAAAGGGTAGTATTTTAAAGGATGTTCCAAAGGGAATTTATTAACAATTTTACATACAGACAGAGTCTTTGTGAAGAACTGAGTTAACTTTGTTGGCATTTCTTAGAATATATATATGAGACAATGTAGAGACTATTTAACCCCTTAAGGACCAAACTTCTCGAATAAAAGGGAATCATGACATGTCACACATGTCATGTGTCCTTAAGGGGTTAAGCTCTATTTAAGAACTAATTTTTGTAACAATGGGCAGAATATCTGTGACTGCGTCTGTCATCTTGCAAAATCTTCCACAGATTCCATTTTTGTAATTTCACAAATGCTGTCCAGTTCTTTAAATTTTTGAAAGACCATATCAAATTAACAGGCGTTGGCCATCTCCCATAATGACTTTTCTAAAACCCAAAAAGCCTAGGCTACTGTAATTTTTCCCATCTTTTCATATTTGGTATTTTTAAGAGAAAACATTTTTTGTATGTGTTTTTTGTTTGTTTGTTTTGCTTTTTGCATATGTGTGAAACACACTTACTTGATAAGTAAACAGACAGACTAAGGAAGAAAAAGTCAAGACGTTTATCTAGAATAATGTGAAAAGAGAATTATAAAAGACTTGAAAGTTTAATAATTAAACCATGTCATTGGAATTATTTTTGTTTATTTTTTTAACATGATTCTTTTTGTTCATGATTTGCAGTTGGTAGTCAATCGACTTGTGCACAATGTGGAGTAAACACAATGAAGGAAATAGAATCTTAGATTATTCTATTAGTTCCAACTCTTTTCACCTGGTACAAACAAGTCAAATTCCTTTAAATCTATGCCCTAACAAATCGATCTGTCTAGGATTTACCAGTGGAGTCTTATTCGTTGACAGAGGTCCAAATGTGGAGTAAACACAATGAAAGCAATAGAAGTTTTTATTCTGCAAGAGATACTCCAGGATAGCCCACTTAGACCGTACTAGAGAGCTCTGTCTGCCCTTAGGCAGACTGGCATGAATATATGTTCCTTATCTGGGCATATTTGTCACTTTCTGGGCAGGTCGAATGAAAAGAGGTGTTGCTCCTCTAGTGGCCCAAAAGTGTCCATATTCCATTGTTAGGAATTATAAAAACAGAGTTTGTGAAAACAATGAGCAAGTGAATCTTCTCAAAGCAGTGTGTCAATTTGAAGGTTTTGCTTGTAAATCAATCCTTTTTCTCCTATTTCTCCATCTTTTTTCTTTTTTAGTTATACATAAGAAAAAATAGACTACATTTACGCTTGAGCATGGGTGCAACCTAAAGGACAACTGTCATCTCAAATCTATTTTTAATAGAATAATCCCCTCATCAAATTTTGAAATGGAATATATATATATATATATATATATATATATGTATATATATATATATAAAATAAGGTATAAGTATAAAAAACTCATCCCTACCTATATGACAGGACCCTTCAGCCATATACATGCTACTTCTGTCTGGATAGTGTTTGAAAACTGATAGTTTTCTGATACTTCTGTGCAGGGGTGAAGCCCTTCTCTATCATTAAAACAATGGCTTTTACTAAAGACTCTCTCCAAATTTGCATCTAGTATTGTAACGGCACCCCGAGCAAAAAGGGGTTAAACCACCATTTAGTAGATCTTCCCTTCCAGAGACACAGGCACAGCTACTGTAGAACACCAATCCACCGAACCGGAGAAGCATACAAATGTTGTAAACAGCTGAATAGGAAAAACCATATGAATAGGTTTACACTCCTAGCAGTCAAACTGGAACAGCATACAATAAATCCCCCCAAGAACGAGACAAGGCTCCGTTTTGAGGGTCAAGCAGGAACAGACAGAGCTGCGGGTTTATTGTTCTTATATACACATTAGTACCACCCACAAGGTTTTGGAAAACAACCAATTAACACATACAATACACTTAGACACTCCCACACAAAATCCTCCCCTCTGCCTGTGATACAATTACCTTACACAATGGGTAATGTAATTATCACTGGCAGAGAAATACAGTTTTTCCACATTATTCATAACTTGAAAAGTATGCATCACATTCACATAAAACTTACATTACATCAGAATCAGCATACTCCAAATACAAACATATGTCAAAATCATCCAAATTGGTCCAGTGATTCAAAAGATAGATCGAAGTCCTTTGTGACCAAATGAAGCATGGCTTTTCTGCCCAAAACCAGTTCCACAGAGTCTTCTATCCTGGAGATAATTGGGAAGTAATCCAATTATCTCAAAGGACAGAGGCAAAACTCCATTGAACACATGGCAGCAAAAGACAATAAAACAAATAAAAATATATAACTGTGCAGCCATTGCACAAAACAGGTACATTCAACATATCCCCAGATAGCTCAGATCTGAGCGCACATTATTACAGAATGGCGCTCAGAGCACACACATACAGTTCAATTGCCATGGAGCCAAAGTCTTTCCCATAGTCTTTCATTATACCAATGGGCTCCATGGCATAGCTATCTGGGGTATCACCGCTCAAACAGGGCACACACCGAATGACCCAGCTTTTGTGTCTTCGCAGGAGAAAATCAAGTGTTTCAACATGGGGCCATAGACTAAAGGCAGCAGGCGGGCAACCAGGCTCCTCCAATGCACAGTGGCGAGATTGGTCTCGTCACAAGTATCATTGTGGAGGTGAAGGTGACAATGTAAGATGTCCCTTGGCTGTGCCAGAACAGAAGTGGATTTTTGAGGATTGCTATATATATATAAATATATATATATATATATATATATATATATATATATATATATTTTACACTCAACTATTTTCACTGTGTTTGTTTTCATGAAAAATCTCCCACTAATTTCACTAAATCTTTTTATTTGTTATCCAAAAGAAAATAAAAAAAATATTTATTTTGTGTACAAATAATACTTGGATTTTGGTTCAATAATGCACATGAATGTAGTGGTTATGGTCTACAAAATAAAATATCTGTTCTTGCTGACATCTAATGACAACAGATCTTTGGATTAAAACATATCTCCACCCTTGCTTTAACATTTGTAGTTATGTCACTGATACTATCAACAACATAATCCTGAAACAGAGGCAGTGGTATATAGAGGCTTTCTCTAGTGGAGGATTAATGTGTTTAATATATATTCTATTTAAAATAGTGCTGGCTCTTGAGGAACAATTTGCTTTATTACCTGGACATCCATCCCATCGTTCATTTAATAGCACCATGGTACTCTGCATTTAGTGGTGTAATAGCTAATAGGTTAATGGTCCAGTAGCAGTGTCCTAATGCCCTGGTTTTCATTCTTCAATCCTTTAACCATCTAAGGTCAATAACATGAGTACCATAGAGTTGGGTAATTTTAATGTCCTCATCCCTGCACATATAAGGAAACTATCAGCAACTACATGCAATCTCCCCAATTCTTTGATGAGGAGGATTATACTATTGTTATTATTATTATTACTACAAATAGAATGGTTTATCTGGACTGGTTAAAATTAGACAACGTATTCGCTGTAAGTCACAGTGTTTATGGATTTTAAAAATTATCCCAGTAAATATCTATACTATATAAAAACATTAAAATAAACAGAAATTCTTGAATACCACAATTCATCATTAGTAGTATATTGAAACAATGTATGAGTTATATTGCAATTTGAACAAGGACGACTATTGTTCATGAGTATTCGTTGACAGATGATGTAATGAGCTGGGATCCACGCAGCCTTTCGTATTACATTAAAACATTATAGTTATTGTATTCACTACAATAAACGTCTGTGCTTTTCAACAATCTCCTAACAAGACAGTTAATAAAAGCTTTTATGTCGTTGCTCGAAAAATCAACAAGAGTACATAAGAAAATGTATCTCATCAGACATGAATCAATTCTTGTAGTAATTCAAACTTTATACACACTGTAACATTTTTAAAGACATTGTAACTTTTTCTGTAATATCCAAGAAAGATTAATGAAATTATTGCAAAATGTACCATCCCGCTTGTCTTTTTCCTTGTTATGGGATTTATTAAGTAAAACCAGGAACTGTAAAGAATTAGAACGGGAATTACAAATGATATAAGCTAAAATATCCAAACAGCAAAAATTCTCCAACTTATATGTATTAACAGTATTGTACTTTCTCTCCTTTGCACCATTTACTTGCTATAAAAACTATTTGAAGTCTAGCCTGTGGTGTCACACTGACATCTAGTGGCTAAACGTGATACCAGCAGTAAGGTGTTTTACAATTAGAATACTATGCATAACAATTCCCCAACATTGTTAGAAGTGAGTGAAACATTCTATCTATTACACTTGCGCATGGTGGAAAAATTCCAATGATGTCATTGGAGGGGCATGCAGACTCCACCATCTTGGTGGAGCCCAGGCAGGGACTGGAGCAGGTCACTGGCTGCATGTAGAGATGTAGGTGTTTAAATAATTAGTTAAGTTTGCCCACAATTTAGTATTTCTATTCTATTTCAATATCTATTCTGCCCTAACGTTTCAAATTCGCTTTGAAATGACATTGAATCCCTGACAATTCACACGTTAGTTCTGTCAGTCTGCTCTTGGTAAGGATGAAGCGAGAGGCATTTGTTTTAATATGTAACCACTAGTAAGTACCTTGCACCAATCACATGCAAAATTGTGCATCTTTTACAGCCGCCAACTTCCGCCATCCAACAGCTAATGACAGACACACACCATAACCACTGTTAGTTATCATCTGAAACACATGGTAAAAAAAAATGTGTCAGTATATTAATTTGGCATATTTGCGCCTTGGCAATTATTAGATCAGGATAAGAATGGCCAGTGGCATGAAGTGACACATTGTTAATGTGTGCCAGGCTGCTCGACAAATTGGCCAAGAATTGATAACCACACATGCAGTACTATTGAAGTGTAACAAAGGCACTCTGTCAGGTACTCAGATATGTTACAACTGAAACAATCTGACATATTTTAGATTACTGAAAGAAAAGTGAGCTGTCCACATGTAGTGAAAACAGAGCAGCAAAATTTTAGGAAAAAAATAACATGTTGGAAAAAGCTATTACTGCAGTAACTAAAAAAAATACAACTTGTTTTCCCCCTTTTTCAATTCATATTTGTATTCAGTGCAGGGCTTTGCTGTCATTTGTCCATGACAGCATTCATGGAATTATCCAAAGGAGGTGCACATCACACGCAGAGTATATCACAAGGATCCAAGGATACTGAGATACTTAAAGCATTATTGCTGACATCAATGAGATAATGGTCAGAAGCATGGACTTGGGTAGTAAATTGATGCTGCCATTTGAACACATAACTTCTGTTTTCACTTTGTTACCATCTCCAAAATCGTAGCTCTGGCTGCCGAAATCACAAATATTTTTGGTGGCACAGCCCCTGACAGCTGATTTGCTGTTTGCAATACCTGTGGACACATTGTTATAAAGTAAAGTAATTGTCAGCAACACTGATCGGAAAATTTAAGATTGAGAAAAACATGACTTTGAGGTGAAAGTACCTGAAATAATGGTAGATTGTAAAATGCATTTTGTCTCTTCTCCAGTACACTCAATAATCTCATTTGTGTGACAAAATGCTGAGTTTACAGTAGAACAGCTGGAACAGTTCAAGCCAACTCTCTGTGTACTGTCTCGTGGCACTTAGATAACAAACAAAAACAGAATAAGAAAAAGTCATGCTAATAACACGTTTCAATAATCCTGGCTCCTGAGGGATAGTCTATCTGGGTGTGAGCAACTCCAATAAGGTAACTGGACATGTTGTCCTACAGAAATCCCTCTAGAGAAGCGTTTTCCAATTGGTGTTCTACGGAACCCTGGGGAAACAAAATGGCCACGGGTGGCGAGGTAGCACTCTCCCCTGCTCAGCAACCTTTGTGCTCACAGCAGTGATGCCAGAGCCAGATTATGACATCACTGCGGCTCCGGCATCACTAAGAAGCACACAAGGGAGCTGAGTAGGAGGATCACTGCTCCCTTACCGCTTGCACTCTATGCCCGCAGGCCAGCCGCTCAGCCCAGCAGCCCCACTGGACCCCAGGGACTGCACACAAGCCGCTCAGCCCAGCAGCCCGCTGGACCCCAGGGATTGCACGCCAGCAGCTCAGCAGCCCCATTGGACCCTAGGGACTGCATGCCAGCCGCTCAACCCAGCAGCCCCACTGGACCACAGGGAAATAGAGGCTACATGCCAGCACTTCCAAAGGTAGGACGGCTGGGTAGAGTGAAAAAAAAAAAAAAAAATCAATTCTGTATGTGTCTATTAAGGAGTTTGTATGTGTCTTTGTCAGTAAGTGTTTGTCACTGAGAGTGTATGTGTGTTTGTCAGTGAGTGTGTGTGTGTGTATATGTGTGTTTGTCAGTGAGAGTGTATGTGTGCTTGTCAGTGAGTGTGTAAGTGTGTATCTGTTTGTATGTGTGTCTGACCAAGAGTATGTGTGTTTGTCAGTGAGAGTGTGTGTGTCTGTCAAAGAGTATGTGTGTCTGAGTGTGAGTCAGTGTGTGTATCTGTGTGTCAAGGTTTGTGTATGTGTTACAATGGTTTGTGTATCCGAGTATGTGTGTGTGTGTGTGTGTGTATGTCAGTATGTAAGCATTGGCATGTGTGTGTGTGTACATGCCAGTATATCAGTGTATGTCAGTGTGTGTATATGACACTGTGTGTATGTGTCAATGTGTGTATATGAGTGTGTGTATGTGCCAGTGTTTGTACCTGTGGGTGCAAGTGTGTGTATATTTCACTGTGTGTATCTGAGTGTGTGTGTATTTGTGACTCAAAATGTGTGTATGTGTATCTGAGTGTTTGTATCAGTGTGTCAAGGTGTGTGTATCTGTGTGTCAGTGTGTGTATCGGTGTGCCACTGTGTGCCAGTGTGTGTGTGTGTATATGTGTGTCAGACTCATACACACTGACACACATATACACACACTGGCACATACAAACACCTATACACACAGACACCCACCTTGACACACAGACACCCACCAGCACATACAAAAAAATGGCGCAAATTTTAATTTTAGTTTTTTACTGGGGAGGGGGATGGGGTTCTACAATGTTGATATACTATATTAAAGGGTTCCACAGGAAAAATTAATTGGGAACCCATGCTCTAGAGCTACACGCATATGGAGATGAGACTAAATTTCTAGACTAAAATCAAACTTTCAAATACCATTATTCTCCCAAAATACACACACAAAAAACAATGAATGCAGTGCCAAATATGACCAAGGAGGCATCTAAGCTATAATACTGGCTGAGCTATTATAACACACTAACAAGTATTCAGTAAAGTGAGAATTTAAGGTAAATTCAAAGGGACTTTAAAATTTAAATAGTAAAACATTCTTGAAGTCAGATATGCTTTAAGTTTGGCTCCCTCTGGCTTTAAATGAACAATTCATCTTCAATTCAAATTGAAGTCTCACTATAGTAAATAGCCTTGGGTGTTTCCTCTACTCCTCCTACACACTTCTCATATAATCATTATTATTATTATATTTATTATATAATAATTATAAATGGTTAGATATTGAAATGTTGTCTATTGGGTTAAATTGCTCTGTACCCTCCACCTTGATCTTTGTTAAAACTTGATTAGCCACATTTTTTCTGTCTAGAAAAACAATGATATGTCCATACGTAATTATCTAGCTTACAGAACAGAGAATATGCCTTTGGTTCGTTATATAAAGCATAATTCTTGCAAAGATTACATTGAAAAATGCTGAACACTTGAAGTGCAGAATTGTATTGCATCACGCTGTCTTCAATCGTTCTCAACTTACATGCTGGGGTTTGTGGTTTACAGCTATCGCTAGAACAACATGTAGTTGCAGTTTTTACTTTTCCTTTTTGGAAACCGATAGTCCCACTTAATCCACAAAAGGAGTTTTTTTCACACGACCTGAAAAATACTTTCTGTGCTACTCCGTCTAAAAGCAGCAAAATAAACAAGTTTATAGAATATCAGAGAGACAGACAGCATGATAGAGTTTCCGACAGACAGCATGAGAGAGAGCGCTAGAGAGAGGGGGGGCAGCGCAAGACAGACAGCATCAGACAGAGGGACACGGAGAAAGAAATGTCACATAAGAAAAGACAGAGTAAAAGACAAACTGCATGAGAGAGCGATCTAGAAATAAAATACGAGAGGCAGAAAGTGTGAGAGAGCAAGTCAAAGAGACAGAGAGATAATATGAGTGTAAGACAAAGTGACTGAGAGCACAAGATCGGAAGAGAGTGATAGAGAGACAGGATTAAAGTCAGGGCATGAGCGAGGGACAGTGAGAAATATAGCCAAACACAGACAGTCTATATTGGAGAGACTCAACAGAAAAGAAAGTACACATAAATCTATTAAATCAATTATACTGTCATAACAAAATACAGAACAGTGCTGCCAAACATAATTGTTTATAGAAATGTTTCTAGGATGCTTTAAATCTCTGTAACGATTTATACAGAATGATCTCAGTCTTGTTAGGGAGTTATGTGACATGTCACATCGCATGTGTTCACCTAAGAAGCATTTTAATTTTCTTTCCTCATCAACAGAGCTTCATGGAAGTATCAGAGTGTTTAACTGAACAGATCTTTGCTCTCACTGGAATATTATGAATACGGTATTAAAACGTGTGTCTTTTCCTCTATGAGAGCCATGCTTACATTATTCACACCGGTGGGATAATAAGACAATTTATCACAATCCCAGAAGTAATAGAATGAATTGGTGCTTTTTGCTTAGAGACACAATGTATCCACCTTAGAGCCATGGGAAAACAAGGCTCTGGGGAAGGTGAGTGTCTTTTATATTAATTAAATATTGGTAATGTTTATGTGGATATACTACACTATAATTCCCTATACGTGTTTCTGTATATTTTGAGAGTGAACATCAATTAAAAGGGGTGGGATGCTGCCTTAAAAGCACATCTGCGCTATCATTGAGCCTTAAAATTTAGGCTCTGAAAATTGTGAGTGTAATCACCAGATTATCTTTACACATTAGACATTTTTAAGTAACATCTGCATTATTATTGTTCTATATTTTATTTTACATATGAAACAATATTTTGTTAGGGGTAAGAAAACCATTGTATTTATTTGCCTGTACTCCTACACTATTCCTTATGTTCCTCGTTTCCGCCTTACTGATGGGAATTAGCCCGCTCTATATGTCACCCAGTTACAAAGCTCGTGGTGGTCCTACTCTATGCCATTTTCCTCTTGTGCCACCAGACACACCAGCCTGACCTCTTTTCACTTATTCAGCTCTGATCTGACCTACACTCAATGTTTTCTTGCTATAAAAACAAAACTGGTTTCTAAAATTGAAATATAGTATATCCTAAAACACGAACATATAGGGAATGAAATCACCCTTTGTGATCAATAATTGTTTTTTATTTTAATTTACCACAAACATTCCCGCCGATATTACGTTACCAATTATGCTGAATGTGAACGTTGAGCCACACATGTAGTTATCAGATGGACATTTTTTTTCAGCACCGGTGCAGGAAGTCTCCCCTTCAGAGATACAGTGAACACAGGAGAGGGAGTGAACTGAGGGAAAGAAAGGAACATTTTAACAATGTTTGCTTTGAATTATTCCATACTGAGTTACATGGAGCTCATTAACAATATTTCAAAAAACTGAACTATGACATAGAACAGAGAGTAGAAAAGACACGTAACAGTAAAACCCGCCCAACGCCCTCGGCATATCATTACTGTCCACAGACGTTGATATTGACAATGAGAAAGTGTAGATTCCACATTAACATTCCAACTGAGAATGCGCTCCCAAACAATTAGACAAAAAACTGGGACTGTGCAGAAACTATTAGTGCGATAACCACTACACCGAGCTCTGCAAATACAATGAGCTGTAATAATACAATAAGCTGTAACAATACAATGAGCTGTAATAATACAATAAGCTGTAATAATACAATATGCTGTAACAATACAATACAATGAGCTGTAAAAATACAATAAGCTGTAATAATACAATAAGCTGTAATAATACAATATGCTGTAACAATACAATACAATGAGCTGTAATAATACAATAAGCTGTAATAATACAATATGCTGTAATAATACAATGAGCTGTAATAATACAATAAGCTGTAACAATACAATGAGCTGTAATAATACAATAAGCTGTAATAATACAATATTCTGTAACAATACAATACAATGAGCTGTAATAATACAATAAGCTGTAATAATACAATATGCTGTAATAATACAATGAGCTGTAATAATACAATAAACTGTAACAATACAATAAGCAGTAATAAGATTATACGCTGTAATAATACAATAAGCTGTAACAATACAATAAGCTGTAACAATACAACAAGCAGTAATAATAATACTATACACTGTAATAATACACTGAGCTGTAACAATACAATAAGCAGTAATAATAATACTATACACTGTAATAATACACTGAGCTGTAACAATACAATAAGCAGTAATAATAATACTATACACTGTAATAATACACTGAGCTGTAACAATACAATAAGCAGTAATAAGGTTATACGCTGTAGTAATACAATGAACTGTAATAACACACTGAATTGTACTAACACAGTGAGCTGTAATACTATAATTAGCTGTAATAATACACAGAGCCGTAATAATACAATAAGGTGTAATAAGACAATGAGCTGTAATTATACAATGAAGTAAAATAATAAAATGAGCTATAATGCCAGAAACTGTAATATTACCATTAACTATAATAAAATGAACTGTAATTATACAATTAGCTATAATAATACAATTAACTATATTAATACAATAAGCTGATATAATAAACTGAGTTGTAATAATACAATAAACTGTAAAAATACATTGTGCTGTAATATTACAATAAGCTGTAATAATACAATGAGCTGTAATAACAAAATAAGCTGTAATAATACAATGAGCTGTAATAATACACTGAGCTGTAATAATACCATTCATTATAATAATACAGTGAGTTGTTGTAATACACTGAGATGTAATAATACACCGAGCTGTAATAATACACCAAGCTGTAATAATACACTGGTCTGTAATAATACACCGAGCTGTAATAATACAATGACATACACAATAAATATTGAGACACTGGAGGTGAAGAAGGCCTTGCTCAATGAGCTTACAATCTAGGGTTCCATTAGTAGTGATCAGTATGGTGTCAGGGATCCTATGCACATCCCATGGTAAGCTATCAAACCATTACTAGACAGTTTGACATTTATCTGGCTTAATCTAGCATCAGCAGGCCTCACAGCAGTTGCAATTTTGGGGACCTGTCCCATATCTGGAGACACCAAGGAACTGTCCTCTAACAGCACAGCATGTGCACATTGATAGATGTGGGCATTACAACCCCTCAGAGAGGTCTGCCCACCTGTACCACCCTGCATGCCCCACCCTGCATGCCTGTTAATGTTGGGAGCAATGCACCTGCACTGCTTCCAGTCTGCATTGATAAGCTGGAGCACACGTTTACCCTTCACTCTCAGCCAGGCCCGTCACGACAAGGCAAGCAAACCAAGCAATTGCTTGGGACCCCGAGCTAGCCTGGGGCCCCAAGACAACGACTGGTTAAGAACATAGCCTATCACTGTACAGACACAGGCGGCGGTGTGTGCATGTGGAAAGCAGGGGGAGCTAGGACACAGCCCGGCAGCCAGCTCCAGCACACACAGTGTTACCGTGCTCCCTCTCCCCACCAGGCATGGTGGGCTGAGCTGCGGGACTCCACTAGCGCCCCCCAGAGACCCTTAGGTACAGCAGTTTGAACACAATAGAATACTGGATAGACAAAGTGCAAGTGCTAAAGTGCAAATAGATGTACAAACAAAAGTGCACAAGTAACAGTCACATATAGTGACAACGAACCAAGGGCAAAGTATTGCACAAGCATTCAAAAACCAGTAAATATGTGAAATAAAACTGCTGATACCAAGCTGCAGGGTCCAAAAATGAGCTCACATATTTACTGGTTTTTGAATGCTTGTGCAATACTTTGCCCTTAGTTCATTGTCACTATATGTGACTGTTACTTGTGCACTTTTGTTTGTACATCTATTTGCACTTTAGCACTTGCACTTTGTCTATCCAGTATTCTACTGTGTTCAAACTGCTGTACCTAAGGGTCTTTTTGGCCTATTGTGGCAATTTTATTCATTTCTTACTGCACATATTTTGTGCTGCCAATATGGATATTTTATGATCAATAAATTCTTTTTCTTTTTATCCCATTTACATTGCCTATTTAGTGATTGTGGCGCTCTGTGTTTTCTGTTTTTTCTGTATGTATATTTAGGGTTGGAGTGACCTATTCACAGAAGCTTGCCTGCACTGGTTTTTTTCACTATTCATCACCCACCTTTTATTCTGTCTATGAGTGGTGGAGTGGATGTTTTCAGAAATGTTATGTGATTTACTAACTACAATTTTTGCACTTAAAATATTATTTAGGACAAGAACAATGCGTCATGATAGAGGCTGACTTCTAAACACATTTATTGTAGTTTAAAGATACATTACTGGGAGTACTATTGCCGTGGAGCTCCGTTATACACTCAGACACATTACTGGGAGTATTATTGCTGTGGAGCTCTGTTATACACTCAGACACATTACTGGGAGTAATATTGCTGTGGAGCTCTGTTATACATTCAGACACATTACTGGGAGTATTATTGCTGTGGTGCTCTGTTATACACTCAGACACATTACTGGGAGTATTCTTGCTGTGGAGCTCTGTTATACACTCAGACACATTACTGGGAGTATTATTGCTGTGGAGCCCTGTTATACACTCAGACACATTACTGGGAGTATTATTGCTGTGGAGCTCTGTTATACACTCAGACACATTACTGGGAGTAGTATTGCTGTGGAGCTGTTATACACTCAGACACATTACTGGGAGTATTATTGCTGTGGAGCTGTTAAACACTCAGACACATTACTGGGAGTATTATTACTGTGGAGCTCTGTTATACACTCAGACACATTACTGGGTGTATTATTGCTGTGTAGCTCTGTTACACACTCAGACACATTACTGGGCGTATTATTGCTGTGGAGTTCTGTGATACACTCAGACATATTGCTGGGAGTATTATTGCTGTGAAGCTCTGTGATACACTCAGACACATTACTGGGAGTATTATTGCTGTGGAGATGTGTTATACACTCAGACACACCAACTATATGGAGCTCCTAGAAAAGAGGGACATTAGGAGAGAAAAGAGGGATAGAGGGAAGTGGACCCGAAATAGGGACTGTCCTAAACAGGGACACTTCAGAGGGGTCTAAAATGATAGTTTAAAAAGAAAAAAAAAGAAAATATAATTATAAATATGTATATATATATACTCAACTACAGTAGCTGTGACAAAAATAAATTGCTAAAAATGTGCCGTTAGAACTTATAAGGACCTTTAAAGCATTACTAGCAGTACAGCTTGCTACAAATACAAAAGAAAGAATTTTGACGTTAGGCCGGAGATATCCCATTTTATAGCCAAGTCAGAAATGGTACTGATTGCAGCTGGTGGTGGGCTAATTCATTCCTGAGAGAGTGTTTCATATCTAGGCACTTGTTACAAGAGGCTGATATGTCTTGCTTGGAACCCTGGCTTCGGACTGCCCATTGTAGGCCTAGATGTTAATGAAAGAAGAAGACAGGAGATATTTTGGTTATCGCCAATTGTCTGTAGCAAGGCTTTTCGTGAACATCTCCCCATATTGTCCCCAGACAGGTCCCTCTTGAAGGTCAGAATATTGATATAAATCATTTGAGTACTCACAAACAGGGAGACCGAGCGCACATGTAGTGTGACTGGTCAATGCGCTGGTACCCGCCGCCCCCTTCCTTTCTACTGTTTGAAAGCACGGGGTGAGCTTGCATTTTTAGCAAACTTGAAGGCATGTTAAATCAGTGACTCAGCTCCAGGCAGATAAATCTGTTCTTCTAGAGGCTGGTAAATATACCTAAATTTCATTCTGCAAGTTACATTAAAATAATAATGATTTTACTCGATGTAGGTAGTAAAGTGGTTGATAGGAAAGTTGTTCACTTTTTGTAAGATATTCCAGAGCACTGGACGGTATTAGAATGAAGTGAATTTATAATTGGTCAGGATTCTGCTGTTTGATAAAACCGTTTAACTTCTCAAAACTCTGTGCATGAGAGTCAATGAGGTAATCAGTGAACACAATGTGCGTGATTCATGATGTATGCTGCTTCATTCTTCTTCAACAGAACTGAAAGTATCCATTGTTCCGCACGTGCCATCTTACTCTATTAAACAGCAAGAATTATGCAAAGAGAGAGCTTAACCCTGAAAGTGTTACTGAAGAGAGTCCGAATCATGGTCCTTTTATACCACTGTGGGGTTTAATCCCGAAATCTAAATTTAAGAAGAAATTAGAAACATTCAGGCAAAACTAAACAAGTTGAGGAAAAAATAATGAACTATGTATTCCTTGGAGTATAAATATTATAAATATTACATGTTAATACATCTGCAGGTATGTGCTATGTCTCCTTAGAAATTTACTGCAGTGCTTATGGTGCCATGAGGCTCCTTGCCATCATCCTCAAGTTGTGCCAAACACATGTCAAATAGTTTGACTTAAAATCCCCTAGATTTCCATGACTTAGGC